CCCCCCCCCCCCCCCCCCCCCCTCCACACATGTTTGTCGAACCAGGCGATGTCTACCAGAATAGGCAAACCAAGAAAATGGACTCTAGGGTCTGATACCACGTTAGATTTCATCTTAAAACCAATTGGTATTAAGTGAAGTTGTACAACATATATATAAACTGCCCATAGAGAATTGAGACAAGCGATGTGGGACTTCCCAACATTTTTTTTCTTTTGCTCATTGAAACACAATGTAACACGCGACATAATTTTATTTAACAATAAATGTTGTGAAGACAAATATGTAGAGGAACACACTTTAGTTGAAAAATAATAATGCAAGTACATGTGCAACGAAACTGAAACATATCAGTTTTCATTTTCAAAATTGATCAAATATGTTTTGTTTATTTAATTGAAAAATCAACATAATACATCATAGACATTTATGTAGAGAAGGAGCCACTTTAACTAAAAAAGAAAGATATCAAAATCCGTATCTTCAAAATTGATCAATGGAAAATCCCACAGGTGATTCAATCAAGGAATGAAGAGTTTGTTTGGGTCTTTCTATGCACCACTATTCAAAGTTATTCACTTGGTAACATCTTCACTTGGTAGCATAGATGTGGCTATCCCTGTTCTCCACGTTGACTTGGTACAACATCAAAAAAAATGTTCATATTCATGAGAGATGGAGAAAATGGATTGATAAATACTTACTTATGATCCACTTGTTGGGAGTTGTTATTAGATTGGCGAGAAACACCATTTTGGGGTTTGGATGACTGTCGACTCCATTTGTTTTCAAAAGGCTGATTCAGAAGTAAATCATCAATACTAAGAAAATAATCAGATATTTTACAAAAGGTGAAATGAAATCAGACAAAGCAAAGACAATCCCTCAAAAGTAGTCCATAAATATTAAACAGCTTCAATTAGCGTGTGGTTTGGTTCAAGTTTAGGCTTGAACGTCACCTGAACCAAACAAGGAAATTAAATGTGGTTTGGTTTGAATATATTATGAAATTCAAACCAAACCAAATCAATCTTTTGTGGTTTGAATTGTTTCAGTTTTTGTAGTTTTAAAAATCAACTTAAAATATGTAATATTATGTTATAAATTATCCATAATTTTTCATCCTGAAATTAGTTTAATAGCTTTCACTTTCACTTATATAGTTATAAAAAAATTACTAGAAGAAAATTAAATCTTTATTCTCAAGGAGTCATTGGCTAAATTCAATTGATATTGGTCATTGGTCAAGTTAGTAGTTAGTACCACAGTTGCAAATTGAACTCCAAGGCATAAAAGATGTTTTGAGACTTTATTAGAATCATTCCAGGTGATATATAAAATAATGTGAAAGATCAAACCATTTTTGCCAAAACTCCATGATAGTCGAGGCAGAGATATTAAATTTGTGTGAGACTTTCCATTTCAAAGAAAATAACCTTGACTAATATTTTGGAGGCAGAAAATAATTAATAAATCGATAAAGAAAAAAATATTTAAAAGCATATTAAAATATAAGTTGCAGTTTGGTTTGAGTCAATTTTGCAATTCCAAATTGCAAACCAAACCGAACCGTGCAGCAGTTTAGTAAAATAAAAAGAACATTACTATATAGTACAAGAAATTTACACACGAAACAGTACGAAATCTGGCGGGTAAGTATTTTATTGGTTATTTAATAAAATAAAGGATAAAAGATAATTATGAAAACAACAGAAATCATCCACATCATTTTGTATATGCTTCATCTAATTAATTTCGCACTATAAAGCAACTCCCAAATAAAAAATCGATCAAAACAGCTAGTTTTTAGTTTTCCATCAGTTTTCAGTTTTTGGGTCGATTTTTGATTCTCCGATTTGATTGGTTCGGTTTTGAATTTGAACATCCCTAGCTTCAATGATATATTCATTTATTATAATGCCTAACAATTAAAAACAATAAAAATAAACCTTCACATCTTGCATGTGCATAGGAAAAGAGTGTGAACCTTGAATTGGTTCCCCCCATTTAACTGGGAGCTGTTGTGCGTGCCAAAACCAAAAGGATTATTAGTCTTCTGCTGTTGTTGCGAGCCAAAGCCAGAGCCAGAGTGAGACCCAAACCCAAAAGGATTTGTATTTTGCTGTTGATGGGAACTGTTCTGTCCTCCAAACCCATGAGCATTAGGTTTTCTCTGTTGCTGGACATGTAAGTATCTACATCTTTCTCCGTATTGACAGCTGAAAGATGAACGACAACAATTTAAATCACATTTTTAAAACTTTTGATGATGCAAAGGTATGAATAATTCAACATTAATGATATATAGCATCTTTGATCACATAGATTATACGATAGCACGACCTGCTAGGGCGAACCACAACAGATATAATAATATGAAAATGCACAGGTTTTAATTGTTACATACTAATGCGCATGAGAATGGAACACAAACAACACAACAATATGTTAACTAATGATCGAAAGTTGAAAAGAAACTAAAGCAGTGAAGAAGAAGAAGAATAACCTGCCACGCTGAAAGTTTCGACAAATATCTCTCATTGTGTGTTGAGCTATGCTCTCAATTCTCAACAAACCCTAGACGAAGCTAAAAATCAATTATATTCTCTACCAACCACCGCATCGCTCATGGAAAATCAACTTCTCATTCAGTTCTCGTTCTGCTCTGTCGTTTCAAATTAAAAATGCATGAAAATTAGTTGTTTTTCTTCTTCTTTTCTCTTTGATCCATCACAACTTAAAATACCGGTTCTTCTACTTCTGGACTAACTAAAACAGTGTCTACTTTTTGGACCATTTTAAGTTTTGGGCCTTTGTATTAAGCTTTGGGTCCTTACTTTTCACACCTCCTTTACTATTTGAACAGCCATTTTTTTAACTTTCACTTTTTCAACGTACCTTTGGCTTTGGGGATGCTTTAAAAGGCCAAAAGGTGCTTCTTTTAAATTTTCCACTTAAGTCGAAAATGTTTTATTTTTATATTTGGTATGACAATTTTAAAATTCCTCCTCAGGAATATAATATGTTCAAAGATTTATTTTTTTAATGAAATTTGTATGTATAAAAATGAGTATAAATACTTAATCACTTACGTGATAAGTGATTAGAAGTATGGAAATCTATACTCAATTTTTATTGAAGCTATTTTTATAATTTTTTCTATTTTTACAAAAAAAAAATCACTTATGTTAACGAACTTTAGAATCAACGTGTGCATTAATTGACTATTAAATCAGAATTATGAATTTTTAATTTAAAAACTAAAATTATGTAATTAAAAATAAGAAGAAGAAAATTACGAATTAAGATTTAAAGATAAATCATAAGTTTAATTTAGTCTTATTTATATAATATTTTACTCTTCTTCCAATTATTATTTGGCTTTGTCTTTTCTACTTTATTTATGTAATAGTTGTAATCGTAAACCTACATTCTAATTTTAGTTTTTTTATTATTTCTTAAAATCTTGCAACCTTATATTTATAGAACAATTATTTTAATTGCATTTTCAATTTTAATTTTTCATATTAAATATTTTACTATTAATCTTATATTATTTATTGAAATATTATTAACCATACTTAAAATAAAATAATATAAAATAAACTTAAATTTACGTCTTATTTTCATTAGCTTATTTTCATTAGCACTTTAGTTTCATTATGTTGGTTGTTGTAATAATTAAAATATATTGAAATTTAAATTAAAAATAAAAAATAATTAATAACGTAAATAATGTAATGGTTAAAATAAATAATATAGTATAATAAATAATAATAAAATAATAGAAAATAAATTTATTATCTATCTATTTTTTATGAATTAATGGGTGGGATAAAGACCCATAATTTATTATCTATCATTATCAAGATGAATGTTAAAGAATAATGCTAAAATGTTAAAATAAATACTATAAATAATATAATGAGGGGAATTTAAATGATACCGGTGTAATTTTTATTAAGTATTACATAATATTAAATGTAAATTTTGTAAATTTAACTGTTAGATTAAAAGTTTTTTTACTCTTAGATCATTTATACAAAATTTTATATTAATCTAAGATGATTTAATACTTCATTCTTATAAAACAAAATTGATGTAATATATACATTTGAAAATATAATAAAATATGAACAATTTGACTACCTTTAAGTCGTTATTCAATTTTAATAAAATATGATATAAATATATAAAGTGATATGAACTTTCAATCTAACAGTTATGTTTACAAAATTCACATATAATATAAAATTATTGAACGGTATAATACATAATAAAAGTTACACTGGTATCATTTAAATCCTCTTATAATATAATAATTAAAATTAATTTTTGGTATCAATATTGAAAAACTAAAAGCTATAAAAGCAAGGATCAAATTAATTAAAAACCGGAAATTAATTTAAATTTTTGAAAATTAAAATCTTAAAATTGACAATTGAATGAAACAACGCCTTACTTTTAATTTTTCAATTTGTAATTCTTCTTCTTTGTTTCATTATCCTTTCTCCGTCATAATTGCGATGACAATTAATAGCCAAGTTTAAGCGATAAGTTTGTTTTTCCCTTCTACATCCTGTTGACTACAAAGTTCATAAAACAATAATCCAACTTGTATTCCAATATCTCACATTTCACGTCCTATTCTTTGTCCCCACACCATCTACCCACTACCACCATCTTCAATAATTTATCATTACAACATATAAAAACCATTTTTTCTTTTTCGCACAGTTTAATTTCTTTCGAGAGAAGAAAAATATCAAAGTGAATACAATTATTTTAATGTTTTTTTTTTGTTTAATTGGATTTGATTTTCAGAATTGATTCACGATCAAATGATTTTTACACTGTTGTGTAATGATATGTTAATGTAACACAGTATAAGATTTTAAAATAGTAAAATCGTCAAACAATTTTTTATTAATCAATACTATTCGATCCAAATAATTGAACGTTCGAGTAGTTTTAGTTAGTAATTATTGGAAATGTTCCTATAAATGTCTTTAAATTTAGGTAAAGATTTGTCGATCTATACATATTTTGATGCTCAAATTAAAACAAGAATCAAGAGATGATGAATGCAATGAAAAAAAAAATCTAAGTTATATTAGTTTTTAGACCATATATACCCTCTTAAGTTATGTGATTCACCATTTTTTTTAATCTATAATTGTTGGAGATATTGTTATTGGGTATTTCTGGGTTTTTATTCAATGATTTTGAATCATTGATAGTATATTTTTTTATACATATAAATATTAAACTAAAAACAAATGTATAAATGAATGAAAGAAGTTTACTTTTAAATACATCCAAATTAGACCAACTATTTTTTAAATAATATCGTACATATAAGTCTCATTCACAGCATCAGCAATTCAGCATTATGTTCTTGTATTTATCCATATTATTGTTGTTTTATTTTGCTTTGAACAAAGTACGGCGCAAATATGGTTTTCATTCATTAAGAAATAGATTTATGGTTGTAAAAACAAGGGAATATAGCAACATTGGAGACACGTGGCAGAAAATATTTGGAAGAGAGAACGCGAAAGCGCAAATAAAGGAGCGGTGGTGTACTTACTTTTCATTTTTCAATAACCTACTTTGCTGAAAACACAATTTCTAACTCATTTTTATGTACTAATTTAAAGTTTCACGATTCAATTGTTATTTGCACATGAATATGAACTAATATTAATAAAATAATAATTAAATAATACTTAACTTTGTTAATCATCATTCATCATCCATATAATTTGTTTTTTAAATGAAGTGCCACGTATTTACATAAATTTAAATTATAATTTTAAAAAAACAAAAACAAATTAAATATATCATGATAATTAGGTTTAAATTTTAAGAAAATAAAAAATATTTGATAATAATAATAGTAATAAGTTTATATATAGAATAGAGAATAACAAATTAGTATGATATAAAATTATAGGAAAATAAGATATTTAAAAAAAATTTAACATTAATGATTAAATTATAAATTTAATAAGAAAAATAATATTAATTTATAAAATAATTAATTTTTATATAT